TTGGGTTAAAGGTGGCATATATTCCTTATGTTAGACGCCCGCATCCACTGCAAATACTGTAACCTGCGTTCGCTGGATATGCTCCCTCCATTGGAACATCCGAGCTGAACAGGTCCAAAAGCAGCAACCATCATTCCCCCTAAGCCCTTAACCCGAAACCTTAGGGCCTAAAGACTAAACCCCGCCAACACTGTCCCATGCAAAAGCAGCCTCGCCGCACAGTTGCGATAAACTTTTGGTGGTCCCCGCGCTTGCGCACTTGAACCACAGCAGCGTGACGGACGACGTGGGCGTTGGTGAGCAGCCATTGGTTGCCTGCCACACAAAACACCTCCCAAACCGAACTTCTCAACTCCCAGCTCCTAACCAGCAGCCTGCACACGCAATAAATGCCACAGTATTGGCATGTCACTAAGGCGCCCTCTCCGAATGCTGGCAAGCATCTTTCCTTGCCCCAAGCAACTGCAAAGGCAGTCCCGGTCCGTGCATCCTGCAGCGCTTGGATCTCCCAAGTCCCAAGAAGCTGCGACTTCCGAAAGCTGCAATCCCAAGTCCGCAAGCCTAAATCTTGTCATCCGAAGCCCTCATCCCCTGAAGCAATGGCATTCCGCGTCCTGGGGCTTGTAGGCCCAGGGAACCGCATAGTTTGGCTCTGACACAGCCGCAAAGACTTTCCTGGACCATGCAAAAGTCCGGCATCTTGGAGTCTCAACCGTGAAAATCCGCAAAACATGACATGTCCTAAAACAGCAAGGGATCCAGATTTTGGGAGTTCGAAAAAGAAAGGCAACAAAGCAGGTTATCCTGGCAATGCACGCAGCACTTGAGGCTTCAGGCTATCCATCTCTCTTTGCTTCAGAGGCATGAGAGCAAGCAAACAAGCACAAGCAGGCGAGGCTCACAACTGCATCATTCGCGTTGGCCGCATCGTCTAAGCAGGCGCCCTGGCCCCAAATGCCGGCACAACTAAGCGGAAAAAACACCGGAAGCCCAACATGTACAGAAGGTCTTCGGCACAGAATCAAGAAGAGATACGGTGGTTCTGGAGTGTAGCGCTGCGCCTTAATGTAGCCCCCCTCCCCCCCCAAACCCCTTAAGCCCGCAGGGACTGCTGGAGAGCCCTGGCTCTTGGCATTCTTGGCCCTCGTCTCCTCGTTTCGGCTCTTCAGGTCGCGGGCGTTAGCTCGCTCTGAAGCTGAAGGGTTTACGAGGTTAAGTGTTCCCTCACACAGGTTCGACTCCTCACGTAGGTAGCAAGACAGGGCTTCGTTTGGGTCATTCAAAGCTAAAGCGAAGCACACATCACGGAGGCATCGTGGTGTTCCCTATTCCATGCCCGAACATCTTCAACCTGAACCCTAAACTCCTTGGATGATGCCGCCGGGCGCTTGGCTGCAGGCATGGCGCTGGAGATCAACAAAAGCTCAGAGCTGAAACGTTCTGAAACCCTGAGCCCTGGCCCTAGGGCCAAGCTCTAAGCCACTAAGCTGCTGAGGCCTTTATACAAACCCTTCACTTGCAAGGCCATGCACCATGAAGCCCAAATTTTTCACCCTTGCCGAGGGAATGGCCTGAAATGCCGGCGAGCCATGGAAGACAACATGTCACTGGCGTTGAAGCCTCTGTACTGCGTCCGCCCCTTGAAAAACATGAAATTCCCGCATCCCTTCCGAATTCCCTAGAATCTGGGAGAGGAGGCCCCAGCATCACAGCCGACTCAGGCTTGGGCTGCAGTCATCCTAGCCGCTGACAGCGACAAGTGTTCATCCCACCTTGCAAGTCCAGGTTTCAGTCACCGCAAGGAAGCTGCTTGCTGCGAAAGGCCGTGGGGCTTTCACAGAACCTGCTGTGGTCCTTCCAGTCAATGAAGGGAAGGTCGGCGCAAAGGATTACTGAAGATCAGCGGACATAAATACATAAAATAAAATAAATAATTATAAAAAAAGTACATACATAAAAAAACATACATACATACATACATACATACATACATACATACATACATACATACATACATACATACATACATACATACATACATACATACATACATACATACATACATACATATATATATGCATACATACATGCATACATACATGCATACATGCATGCATACATACATGCATACATACATGTCCTGCGACACTGCTTAAGGACTTTGCGACGCAAAATCCATACCCTCCGCCCTTGGCTGCAAGCCGAAATCCCAACACCCTAAACCCACCCCAGATTCCACAGATGCCCACATATTCCCACATCCCTGACCACGCCTTGGGTGAAGTTGGATGCGCCGAGGTGGCCTCACGGTATCGAGCTGCACCGTGGCTCTTGACATCATGGTATATAATGGTATACAGCAAGCCAGGCGGCGGCAGCGCGACTGTAACAGTCCACATGAAGGAATTTAAGCACTATTGCTTGCGAAGGGTGTCGGCTGAAAGAGCTGGGATCCTCACGTAGGTTCCGTCACATCGTCCATCATGATGTCCACTTCCGAGAGCCCATGCAAAATCGGGTGTACTTTCTCGTCACCTGGACCAGGACGGCTTTTGAAAGTCCCTGTAAGAGACCCTAGCCAGGTGCTCTCTCCTTCTTCGGAACGGAACAACCCTAAGATATGATCAAAAGTGTAGGAAAAAAGTCAAAAGACAATCCGGAAGCCAATGATGCCGGAATCTTCCGCCCGGGACCTCGGACTGCCCTCTCAAGTTAGTCCCAGGGCCTGTCGTAGCCGGAATCTCGTCGTCGCCATCTCGCTCATCAAGGACCTGGAGCTCCAGACGAGAATGTGACTACTTTGCAACTATCCGATTTAGGGAACTTGAAGCTCCTCCCTTACAGCTCCACAAGCAAAGCCATTCACAAGTGAAGGCCTTGCATGCCCAAAGTCCGACTGTCAAAGCCAAAAAGATCCAAGAACCGTAAACAGCCAAGTTCTCACCGACTAGGCGAGATCCAAGCCAGGGACTGGAGTTACAGTTTCGACATTCTGGAGAAGTCCCCGGTGCCGTTCTGAAGAGTAGGGCCCGAACTCAACCCAGAAGCCCCAGATGATTGAGGAAACTTCTCTGTGGCCTAGAGCCCCTGCGTCTTAGCAGGGAATGAGGGAATTAGGGCCCTATATACATCCTTTAAACCTCATTCCCTAATAAGAACCAGCCAGTAGAGCCCTGCCTCGCCCAAGCAATCGCTCCCCGCGCGCTCGAGTTTGAGGAGTCGGAGTGGGGCGATCGGGGCGGAGGAGATGGAGGACTCCTGTGACGCATCGACAGCTGCCACTTGAACCTCTTGGGGGGGGCCACCTTATACTTCTAAGTACAGGTGCAAGTGCAAGTGCGTGGGGTGTGTGCGCGAGGTCGGGGATGGACTCTGAAAAAGACTTTCGCTGCCTCAGCTCCTCGTGGATTCGGGATATTTGGAGTTTAGCTTGGAGATATTTGGAGTTTGGGATGTATTGGTGGGTAGAGCGCTAACTGATGGTTCGGCCGCGCTTTGCAGGCGATATTTTGCAATTTCACACGAACCCCATATTTGCACGATGGCCTTGACGCACTGTGCGCCGACAAACGATTGGTGTGAGGGCTCTCTCCTCCACCCTCCTTCCCAACATCTAAAAATACGAAAGCCCCCCCCCCCCCCCCCAAGTTTCACAATCCGGGGCATCCTTGACAACTAACCTTTGCAGTGCTACCCACCTAGCCTTGGACGCGATCCGGCCAGCATACTCCATCCTGGCCTGCAGCCTCACAAGGGCCGCCTGACAGGAGCGTCCCCCCAGAGAGCGCTTGATGGCTTCTGTGAGTTGAGGCTTCGGTTCTTGCCGCTGCTGCCCGTCCTTACCGCAGAGCTGCGGCAAGCAGCAGCACAAGCACGTGATGATCGAGCAGGATACAGCCCTCGACCTCACCTCTTCCCGAAAGGGGGAGGGGGGTTTCTCAGAATGACTGTTCTTTCAGCTTGGGGAATGGCGACGGGGCCCCTCTATACCGATTGCAAGGCCTGCAGGGTGTCTTTCTCGTGGTTCAGCTCGTCGATCTTGGCCTGAAACAGCCGGGGCAGGTGACCAGGCAGAGCTATGTTCAGGAGTCCAGGATGCTGGCTTCTGAACAGAAATGGCTTGTGTTGGTTTTTTTGTGGCTGGGTCAGACTCCCCAAAGTTCTCAAAACCCACACTCCTCAAGACCCTCAAATCCCAGTTTCCCAAGCCCCACGCAAGAAAGCCTCGAATCCAATGAGCCTCAAGATAATCAAACATGCTCAGGGCCCGTCATCCTGGGAGCTGTGAATCCGGTGTAGCTGACGCAGCAAGTCTGCATAGGCCGTCTCGCGCCTCAGTTCTCTTGGGTCTCGGGCTGAGGGCTTCTAGATGCTTCTAGATGCCTCTGGATGCTTTTAGATTTCGCAGCTGCATAGCTGGACCCATCGCAGGGCTTCTGGAGGGGTTTTCAAGGAAGCTCTTCCTTGGCTTGGGACAGTTTGTTGGATAACGAGGGTAGATTCTTAGATGCTTGGGCCGGCACGCGTCGTCCATATGAGTCTCTTTGTTGTTGTCCAGCTCGCGACTCAACGAACCGCCATCCAGTGCATGGGACTCCATGGCGCAGCTATAGGGGGAAAACTTTTTCTACCTTTTTCTGCTTCAGTCTCTCACGTGGGCTGCCCCTTTTTTCATGCTGCGAACCCTCAGGATGATCATGTCTAATATTTATAAATCCCAAGCCCTCAGGGCACAGTGTGGACACTTGCCGCAGACTATAGGCTGTTCTGAAAAAACTGTTGGGCCGAACAGCTTCGGTCATTGCCAACACAGGCCCAACATGACCTTTGTGGCCATCTTCGCGGGTTCAGGTACTTAGTTTGCTGGAAGGTAAGTGATCAAAGCAGGCCGCTTGCAGGTCAACGTGAGGACAAGAGCCTAGCCTAGAGCAACAAACTCTTCAACAGAACGCTTCCCCGAGAAGCACCCGGAAGATATCGGAAGGCTGTGAGGCCGCGGCCGGCCCAGTGTAGCAAAGGACCAGAGGGCACCCGTCAAGTGTCGGCTCTGGAAGTTCGGTGCCTGGGGGGGATGGATAAGAGGTAGGCCTTCGGGGACGGTTAAAGCTGCCTTGGGCTCGCAGACTGCAGACTCTTCCCTCATGACCAGACGGACTGCCCCAGAGTCTCCATCTTGCAACTAGATCAGCCCCCTTTAGCAAAGGCAGACTCTGTGGCGTTGGGGCCTGCATGTTCCGATCCAGATGGGTGAGGACCTCCTGCCACCGGCTGTCCTCGAAGAGCCTTGCGACTTCAGGATTTTTGGAATTCGGGGGACTGTACTCGTGGGGCCAGGGGACCTTTTGCGGAATACCGTAAATGCAGCACATGTGGTAGCAGACACCTACAACAGCTCACTTTTCTTGGAGGCTCAACTTTGGGCGCACCGAGGTGACATTTCTTTGAAACAGTCCCCAAACATGCTTCAAGACGCCAGTCGACTCGCGCCGCCTGTGATGTGGTGCCTCGCGATTCCACTTGGCCAGACGATGCCTGATGCAACGGGCTGCGTGCGGCATGAGAAGTAGCGAAATCCGCGTGCGCCCTCGTATCAACCGTAGACGGACTGTGAAATCCTTATCCATTCTTATTTGCACCGGCCCAGGTGACCAAACCCAGAGTACAAGGACACTGCTTGCGTAGAGGCTGCATGGCAGTGGCAGTATTGGTGCCATCAAACTCTGCGCCGTAGGTGCCGATGAGGTTGAGCACCTGCACAGCTTCAGGGTTGCAGTGCTGTACCTACAGCTGCTTGAGGCCATGCCCTTCTACTAAAACCACCCCATCTCGGAATCGAGTAGAGAAGAGCCTGGCTAGGAACCGTCAGCCCCTTGCCGGATCGATCGGGACAGCTTTGTCATGTGCATGTGTCAAAGGGGAATTCTTGGTGTCGCTTGGGCCGACACTCCATCCAGTTTGGGCGGTCTTGGAAAGGAGGCCCGGAGGCCCGGCCTTGTAGGGTTCAGTTCAGGTTTGCTTGGAGTTTTAGGGTTTGCTTTCAGCACAAACCCCCAATCCAAACAAAAGATGGCCCATCCTAGAATGGACAAATTTGTCCTTATAGTGAGACTTGCTGCAACCCCCCAAGCAGTGCCCAAATCCTGAATAGCCGGGCAAACTTATCTCTTTGTAGAGCAAGGCTAAGCAGGGTGCAACCCTACGACCTTTCGCAGTATAGGCTTCTGAAGAATCTCGCCTAGTCGGTAACATCACGACCTTTTTCGGACCCAGACTCCTGAATCAGCTGGGGAAGACCTTTGACATCACGACCTAAATCCTAAACCCTATAAGCCCTAATGTTAGAATCCCATTTTTAATTGGGGTGGTAATACTAAAATCCGCCGGGCCAGAGGGGTCCAGCCGAAGACTACTTTCCATTACGGGAGGTTTTCGGGCCGATGTATGTAAACAAGTCTATTTTGGGGTGTGCGATGATAATAATAAAGGGTGGTAATTATAAAATTCTGCCGGCCTGGAATGGAAAATTTTACTGAGAATCGCTTAAGAGTTCCATTGCAGAGAAGACTTTTCAGCTGAGCTGGCTTGAAAGAGCTCCGAGGCTCAGTCTTTAGAGAAGCAGATCTCGTTTGAGAGTGCTTGTCTTCTGAGATTGCTGCAGCTCCAGAGCTGCGAGAAACTGCTGTTTCAGGGCTGTTTCTTCAGAGAAAGCAGGTATCAGGTGCCTTTTGAGGTTGCTGCAGCTCCCAGAGGCTGAGAAAGAGAGCCTTGCCACGGAGGCCCCTTCGGGCCGGCAGAGCAAAAGGAGCTGCAGAGAGCAAGCAGAAGCCTTCAAGACAAAGCAAAGCAGACCCCGACAGCTGACCCCCCCCAGACCCCCAGACCCCCAGAATTGATTATTGGCACCCCGTCTTTTTTTCCACCCCTCCAAACCCCGGTGACCAAAGCAAGATTTGGGGGGGGGGGGGGTTTATTAAAGGGACCCTAACATTAAGCCCTAAAAGGAACCACATCCTAGGCCAGCAGGCTGAAGGGCCTCCGGCACAGAGCTTGTCGCTGCCAGCCAGTCATTCAGGGTCCGAGACGGCTTATCCGGCCGAACCTTGGGGCTGCGTTCTCTTTTTGGGTGTTTTTGGCCACCCGCCAAGCAGTCTAGCCGCACCGCAGGGTGGCGATGTACAATTTCAATTGCTTCACTAGCATGTCTCCGCTTCCTCTTGCCATCTCTTGCCATCAAGTTCTATCCCCCCCCATGCAATATTCAGCGTCTAAGAAAAAGCTCAATCGATGCAGGGTTTAGGGCCGTTTAGGGTTTAGGCTTTAGGGAGTTTAGGGTCTCTCTTCTCTTCTTTTTTGTCGGCTGTGCAGGCTTTGTAAGCCATAGGCACTTGGCCTTGAAACGAATGGAACGAGCTCTCGAGCCCTCTGGCAATTTAGGAACTCTGTCGAGCTGCTTCGGCCCAGAACGTGCGTGTGAGGCTATGGCTACGGCAGGGATCGGGCGAGTAGCTAAGGTCACGCGGTGGGCACAGGGTATCTGGGCAGTACGATGGCTGCAAGAACCAGCGGCCAAAAGAATTTGCAAACAAGTCGGGCTTGGGCATCTTCTGCGCATGCCCACAAGCTCGAAGGCCCCCATAGGAGGCCGCAAAATGTAGGGCAGCCAATGCTCCCCTCTAGGTCAGCGCCCCAAAACCACTTGCGGGAGGGACCTTCTCCTCAACTTCAAGTCTTACACTTTCTGGGTGACAACGAGACCCTGCGAACTACTGTTACTGCCCCACAGCCCCTCCTCCTGGCACCGGCACGGCTACTGTGCGGGCCATGCAGGCATGGAAAATAACCAAACCTCTCAGCCTCGAGCAGCAAAGCCTCAGATCTTCGCATCCGGGCCCTGAGCCAAGCGCGTGATGATACCATTGAACGTGGCACTGGGATTCATGGCGACGTCCGCTTTCGCCTTGTCCACGTGGTAGTAGCCGCCGATGTCCACTGCCTTTCCCTGGCAGTCAAGCATGTCTGACAGGATGGCAGCTTCCTTCGCCTTGAGCTGTTCGGCCGCGTCCGAGAAGATAGCCTTGAGGTGCTTCTCGTCGCTCTGAGTGGCCAACTCCTCCGCCCAGTAGCGAGCTACCCAGTAATGGCTCCCGCGGTTGTCGATCTCTTTGACCTTGCGGGAAGGGTTCTTGTTGGCGTCCAGGAAGCGGCCCACGGCGCGGCTGAGCGCTGCAGCTAGCGCCGAGGCTGCCTTGTTGCCAGTGTCCTTGGCAAGATCCTCCATGGAGCAAGTAAGTGCCAGGTACTCGCCCAAAGAATCCCAGCGAAGGTGGTTCTCTTTCGTGAACTGCTGGACGTGCTTAGGGGCAGAGCCACCTGCCCCAGTCTCGTACATGCCGCCACCTGCCAGCATGGGCACCACCGAGAGCATCTTGGCACTCGTCCCGAGCTCGAGGATGGGGAAGAGGTCAGTCAAGTAGTCCCGCAGGACATTGCCAGTCACGGTGATGGTATTGAGGCCCTGCTTGGCCCGCTCGCAGGTGACGCGCATGGCCTGCTGCGGGGACAGGATCTCAATGTCCAGGCCCTCCACGCGGACTTCCGGAAGATACTTGTGCACCTTGTCCATAATCTGGCAGTCGTGGGCCCTGGCAGGATCCAGCCAGAAGATGGCCTTGCATGGCTTCTCGTTCCTTGGGAAGTCGTTGGCCTGGCATCGGCGGACGGCCAGCTTCACCCAGTCCTTGATGGGAGCATCCTTGGTCTGGCAGGAGCGCCAGATGTCGCCCTTCTGCAGGCGATGACCCAGCAGCACCTGGTTGGTGCCATCGTTCAGGACGATCCGGATGGTTCCGGAGCATGGTGCCTCAAAAGTCGTCGGGTGGGAACCGTACTCCTCTGCCTTCTGGGCCATCAAGCCAACGTTCGGGCAAGCCCCCATAGTCCGTGGGTCGAAAGCTCCGTTCTGCTTGCAGAAGTCGATACACTCGGCGAACGCGCCTGCGTAGCTGCGGTCCGGAATGCAGGCCTTGAAGTCCTCCTCCTTGTCGTCTTTATTCCACATCTTGCCACCCGCACGAATGGCAGTGGGCATGGAATTGTCGATGATGATGTCACTGGGGACATGCAGGTTCGTGATGCCTCTGTGCGAGTCCACCATGGCCATCTTCCCCTGCTTCGCATAGGTGGCCATGAGGTCCGCCTCGATGGCAGCCTTCTCTGCCTCCGGGAGGCTCGAGATCTTCTTGTACACGTCGCCCAGGCCATTGTTTGCATTCACGCCCAGCTTCTCGAAAGTCTGGGCGTGCTTGGCAAAGACATCCTTGAAGTAGGCCTTCACGCAGTGACCGAACATGATCGGGTCGGAGATTTTCATCATTGTGGCTTTCAGGTGCAGCGAGAACAGCACGTCCTTCTCCCGCGCGTCGGCAATCTCACGCTCGAAGAACTCCCGCAACATGGCGCAGTTCATGAAGCTGGCATCCAAGATCTCCCCCTTCTGCAGAGAGATCTTCTCCTTCAGCACAGTGACCTCCCCGGACTCCGCCACCATCTCGATGCGAGCCTCACATGCCTCCGGAATCGTCACGGACTTCTCATGCGCGTAGAAATCGCCATCCGACATGGACACCACATGAGTCTTGGAATCCTTGGACCAAGCGCCCATGGAGTGCGGGTACTTGAAGGCGTACTCCTTCACAGGCACCGCTGCTCGGCGGTCGGAGTTGCCCTCGCGGAGAACGGGGTTCACAGCACTGCCCAGGACCTTGGCGTAGCGCGCCTTGATCTCCTTCTCCGCCTCATCCTGGGGATCTTCCGGGTAGTTGGGGATCGCGAAGCCCTGGCCCTGCAACTCGGCGATGCACTCCTTCAGCTGCGGGACGGAGGCGCTGACGTTGGGCAGCTTGATGATGTTGGCCTTGCCGCTCTGCGCCAGGCGCCCCAGCTCCGCCAGGAAGTCCCCCGTGCGCTGCTCCTCCTTCAGCATCTCAGGGAACAGGGCGAGCACGCGCCCGGCGACGGAGATGTCCTTCAACTCCATCTCGACACCTGCTTGGGAGCAGAAGGCCTTGATGATCGGATAGAGGGCATGGGTCGCCAGCATGGGCGCCTCATCTGTGTAGGTGTACGTGATCTTCCCTTGCGAGGCCATGGTGCGTACGCCGTCAGAGAGGAAGTTGAGGCAAAGTCGTCTTGAACCAAAATTATTGAGCCAAAATGGCCTACTTTTGGGGTTTAGGGTTTCGACTCTCACACTCGCACAAGGCCGGCAAGGCATAGGTTGGGAGGTCTCTCGTGTTTAGGGTTTAGGGTTTGAGGTTTGGGGTTTTTGCCACCCGCCTAGCAGACCCCCTCTGGGATCACTCCGCAGGGAACAATCGTGATCTCTCGTATGTGCCCTCAGCATAGAGTTTGGGGTTTAGAGCTCAATTTCTGAAATGGTTCATATGGTTTCATGGTGGTTACAGATACGCGTGCGTGTGTGTGTGTGTGTGTGTGTGTGTGTGTGTGTGTGTGTGTGTGTGTGTGTGTGTGTGTGTGTGTGTGTGTGTGTGTGTGTGTGTGTGTGTGTGTGTATCTGAATGTGCGTGTACACACGGTAACCCAAACCTTGCACAGTGGGCTCTTTCTGCACTGGGAGGGGGGGGGAAGGGTGGTTTGGTTTGTTCGGGGTAACTGGAAACCCCCTCCTCACATTCAAAAGCAACAGAATTTCGAAATTCAGCGTTAAGGAGGCTAAGCTCATTCGCGCAAAATACGACTCTCTGGAAATCCTGGCTGGCTTAAACTTCCAATGCCTGTAGTTCCCCCAACCCCGTAAGCAGAAATAGCGTCTAGATTGTTGTAGATACTTCGCTACCAACGGTTACATGGCAAGCAAGCCCAAACATGAATAAGCCCTAGAACGGTTTCGGATTTGGACCCTGTACTGCTGAGGGCGTTCGTGTGAAATCTAAGCCCGCAGCATGGTAAGGGAGCTTTGAGGACACGATCCTGCGTCGAATCGCTTCATGGGCACAGGAAGTCCAAACAGCTCGGCAGCTGTCTCAGGCCATCCAAGTTAAAACATGGACCCCCCCCCCCCCCAACAAAAAAAACAAACAAAACAAAAAACGCACAAATAAAGCAACTCCAAACCACTGAGCTTCCAGGATTGGGCAGGGCCTCGCCTAACGAAGTCGCTGTGGGGCGTCCCAGGAGGGCCGTAGGAGTAGAAGGACTGGTTGGCGGAGTGCACCTGCTGCCTGGTGTTCGGTTACCACTCCTATGCCCGCGCCTCAGCGCATCTTTCTGATCAGTTAGACAATGCGAAGAAGGGAAGTGGACTCCGGCCCCTTGTCTGGACGTACTCTCTCAACGTACTGCAGACTGCAGGGATCTCTCTGGCCACGTTCTTTGCGTTTTAAAGAAAGAAAGAAAGTACTGTTTCTCGTTTGGGGAGCGGAGTGGCAGGACCCAACAGGGTATGGGACGAGCTTCGTCACAAGCAGGCCTGAAACCCCCAAAGCTCTGAGACCCTGAGTCCCCAACCCTCAATCCCTAAGGCCTAAACCCCTGAATCCCTAGACCCTTTGTTTCCATGGCTGCTAGGCCCGGGCTCACTTCGCGAACCCCCTGTGATGTGCCAACGTGCGAACTGCCACGGGTTGCAAACAAAAGCGCTCGTGGACCTCCAATCCACAGCGCTAGCATCCCGCATCTGTGGAATCACCAATGGACTGGAACTAAGTGCTTAACGCAAGGAATGCATCAGAGCCCAAAACCCCTGAAGCCCTGAATCAAAATCATTCAGTGTGAATGTTGCCTGAAAGCAGCCGAGACTTCCTCTCTCTTTCTATGGGGCTTGCGGAGAGCTAAGCGGCTACCTCACTCAGGGACCAGTGCGGACTTTGAACAGAGATACGAACCCCTACACCCCATTCGCTGACCCAACACGGGTATGGCGGCTCAAACTGTGCTCAGCCGCTGCAAGGGAACAGTGCAGCCAGTCATAGGCAACTACATCCGCATAGCCCTGAGTCCCAACAGCCGAGGTGCCGCTTCGCTCCCTGGGCCTTCAAGCTTTGGAGCTGGGCTTTTGCAGCTTCAGGGTTTGGAGCTTCAGGTGATTGTGGGGCTCCACTGGCTCCCAAAGACCCGTCTTTGTCAAGCTAACGGCAGGTGAGGTTTCTGCGAGCCTTCTCCTGCCGCGGTGCCGCCGATGAAGCAGCCACGGGCTGGCTCTCCTGGCCCAGAGAAGAAGAATTCAACACACTTCGCCGACGCGGACCGCCTTGGCCTTCATGTTAGGTGATAATGCAAAGTAGCTGGCGTTGTGACGCGTCGTTGCAACCGGACCCTGCGACCTCTGCGCAGGGTCTACGCCTTTCCTGGCTAAGAGAAGCATGTCGAAAGGCCTCTGCGCCAGCTGCCGCAGCTGGAGCTGCACCTGCTGACCGAGTGTCAGAAACCTTCAAGCCCTAAACCCTACCAAGCCTTGCAAGCCCCCTTCAATTCTGAATGCCCCCCCCCATGCCAAAGCTGAGGCCCACACCCTGACTTGTCTTGCCCTGATCCTCGGGAATCACCAAAAGTTTTGGGGTACTGCTGTGCTGAATTGGCGCAGATGGGCCAAAAAACAGCTGCTTTTTTTCCGAGCGAGCTTGCGGAGTGGCTGTGCAGGATTCAAAAGCTCCTACAGCTTTGGCCTGCCGGAATACAGCTCCCCGTGCTCCACGTGCTGGAATTTGCCATACTTCTGCACGTTCTGGTTGGTGCCACTGACATAGTGGCCTACGAAACCATCCCGCTTGGACAGCTCCTCCTTCGCGATGGTGATCAGGTGCACCATGTCTGGCCCGTCAGCGACCCGGAGCGTGCGCATGCCAGTATACCTGGAAAACCAGAGAAAGATCTGTGTCACTGTGCTCGACTCCTTTGCATTATCCCAAAGCTCCTTGGGCCCAGTCCTTACAAATACCGACCCTGAACCGCACAACGCTACTACAGCCAGATTGCATGCTGGCCAGATGGGAGTCCTGGGAGATCCCATGGGCTCCATGTAGCTGAATGGCGTCGTCAATTATTTTCCTGAGAGTGGCTTTGCGATCCTGTGTGCCAGCCAAGCAGTTCGGGCTTTTTAAGGGCTGCACCCTCTCAATTTGCAAACTGTATCAACCAAAAGCCAAAGGGACATCCTAAATCAAAATCCAAGCATCAGGGCCGCCCGAGGGGCAGCCACCTTGATCATGGCAATGTAGCTCTTGGCGGCCTACAAGCAAAAACATGCAACCTTAATTCTGGTGCCTCTCTTGCTATGCCTGCTATGCCTTAGGCCTTGTGCTTAAATTTCTACAAGAAACGAGAAGCAGCAAGATCGATTTTGCAGCAGCACGAACCCACTTTTCGTGTCCTGGGTTCCCTTAACTCCCAAACCGCGACTTCTGGAAAAACCAGGGCTCAGGGCTTTCGTGTTCCGTCTCGAAACCGCTTCCGAAAAAAACATTGAGCCTGAAATCGCAAGCTTCGGCACTTGGATTCAAGTCTTAGAGCCTTCAACGAAGGTTTTCCCACGATACTGCCCTGAACCTTGAGGCCCATTTGCTTCCGAAACCCCTTGTAGTACAAGGGCAAAGCCCGGTGGAGAAACCTCACAGGTTTCTGAGGCCTTGAAACCCTGTTCATCCGCCACCACTGCCGCCAGATAGCCTGGACAGAAAATGCTTAGGGTTTTTGGAGTGCCGGTTATGCCGGTTGCAGTGGGTTTCGGGTTCGAGCCTTCCTTGCTGCCCAAAAACCCTTTCCTTCAGGACCTGACTGGAGTCCTGGAGGTCTCTTGGAGGTTACTGAGCTTCGGGACATCTGCAGCTTCTACGGCTGCTACGGGGCTTGGAGATCCACGGCTTTCTCAGCTGCTTGAGGATTGATGTGGTGAAAGGGGCTTCGCTGTTGCGTACGGTAGGCTTTGCTTTCCGACTTGACTTCGAGGCCGCGTGGCAAAGCTGTCGGCACTTGGTGATCTCGATGCGGGCCTGATTGCAAGCATGAATGGCTTTGAGTGCAAGAGGTACGCGAAATCAAATCCACAAGAATTAGTTCTCGCACGAGGCAAATCTGTGGGCTTGCAGTTTGCAGACCCAGCTGCGCTAGTTATGCGCTCAGGCTGAAGCCCTATATTGTGAAAGGCTGGATAACAACTGCCGAACCCACCATCCCGTTTGATTCTCGAAACCCCTTTATGCGTCCAGTCTGCGAAACCCCCTTCTTGGCGTCCAGGCCTCTAAGCAGCTAGCCGGGTACTTGTAAGACCACGAGGCGGCATGTTTCGCTATGCCAGGAGCTTTAAGATCAGGCACAAATCGAAATCGAAGTCTCAAGGCTTTGCTTCACAACAGAGTTTTACGGTAGGGCCTGGACCTTGAAAACCGGTGGAGGCCCACAGAAGCCCGTATTTCTGAACATGATCCAGTGCCTCGGCAATGGCCATGCGCACGGCGTCCTTCTGCGCCAGAAGCTTTCCGAAAGCCTTCCGCCGATGCGCCCGGTCCACCTCTGGCAGCACAAAAGGAGCGTGAGCTGGGTCGAATCGGGAACATCATGGAACATGTACAAGTGCTTCGTGAGTGAGCTAACTTGTGGGCTCCAGACTTCAGAGCTTGGACTATCTAAGGGGGTTCCGAAAGGAGAAAATGGTTCGCCATGAGGTGGAAACAAAACCACACCCCCCGATGCGAAGATGAACTGCCGGCTGCGCTGCCATGGCGGCCAGCGCCAGCTCCGCGACACCAAGTGACCTCGGCTCAGCTTGCTCTGATAAGTCCTCCTCTCAGGGTTAATTTGGACTCTTTCGGTGTTGTTCCCGGGATGTTTATATCACGCTTGTAATGCCGGACATGCACAGCTGAGGGCGGTGCAGTGCCTGGCGTCCATGATCGGTCCTTGAAAGCCCCGTGTTGGAGCAACCTAGAAAGAACGGCTATAATCTGCCGCTCGGCGGAGAGGCCTCGCGGCAGTAAAAGTTGCAAGAGCATGACGGGCCTGTTCCAAAATGGAAGCGGGGAGACCCATACACACACCATCCTGCAACTGAACAACACCAAACGAAACCAAATTAATCCCCTCACAAAGACGATCCCCAACCCCAACATTTCGGAACAGCTCCTTGCCTGCACTACGGACAAATGCTAGGCATCCAGCCAAAGTAGGTTTTGGTCCATGGAAGTTGTCTGCGACAGGCTCCCATTTCCCTGCAAGCCTATGCCAAAAACGGAAATCTACAGCCTTCAGCATGAACACGATCTCTAGCCACGAGACCCTCAGACAAAGAGCCGTTGCTTGATCCCAATCCAGGATCCGGCTTAGCAGTCCTTTCAAGCAAACAATGGGAAACATGCTCACTGCACGCTCCAGGCTGGCCTCCCAGCAAAGGTGCAAGCTCTCCCCAATGTCTGCATCACGAAACTCCCAGGCCGGCAACTCTGGCTCGCCACAAGAACCCATATCTCGAACCCGAACTCGCTGTTGGCCCGTATCGACTGCAATGTTCAGATACACCGCCCTCAGAGCTCGAAGGCCAGCAGCATGCTTGGTGTGATAACCGCAGGCAGCCTGATGCAGCTGAACGAAGCAGTGGGCCCTGTTACGATTGGCAAGGTCTGCTTGTCGATCCGCCCTGTCATTCCACTGCGCCACCCATTCTTCAAAAGGACTTTCACAAAGGCCAATGTCCAGATGAGATGGAACATGCTTGGCCCCAACAGCCCCCGCCGGATAGCACTGCAGAATCATCTCAAGTTGCTCCCAGAGGTCGTAGTTGTCGGCATCATCAGAAATCGCCTCTCCCTGTAGCAGAGCCTGGACACCATCCACCACGTACGCCGCGTCGGACCAAAGCTGGAGCTTAACTCTGTTCAGGAGCCCCCAACGAAAAGCAAACAACGCGGCATGAAGTTCAGCGCGGGGAACAGTCTGCCATGCACCAGGTAGAGGACCCATATCCAATGTGACACCCAGAGTAGCATTAACCACGGACCAGGCCGCCAGCGCCAATCGACCTTCGAAAAGCTTGGTGCCATCGGTGAACACATCCTGCCAAGTCTGAAAGTGCCAATTTCCGGCCCGCGTAGGCATCTGTGGCTGCAGCTCACTCAAACCGCGGAGCAGTTCAGGAACATAAGGATTCGCTGGCACCAGGAGATGATGCGTCATGCACTGTGGCCATGTCTCCCAGCCTTCCAAGACCTCGCGGTGTTCAGCACGACAATGAGCATACTTAGAGCAGTCGCAAACCTTGTGTCGCACCGTGTCCAAGACCCCACAAGCATCACACACGGCCGATTTGGTGGCATCATACTTGCAATGCTGCGAGTTGGCAATGTTCGAGCCCGACTGCAACGCCTGAACACGCGACGTCTCAAGTGCTGAGAGCCTGCCGGCATCAAGATGAGCAAGCTCAAGATCAACACTGAGCAACTCTCGCATAGTCTGACGGTGATTGTGTTGCTTGGCAACATGAGTGATCCATGCTTGTTCGGCCATGTACCTAAGCAACCCTTTAGGAGCCCTGAACAAATCAAAAGCCAAACCCGTCGCAGAAAAAATCAAAGGAGGCTGCATCGACCACCCAAGGCGGGCACAAATCTGCAACAGGCTGCTAAAAGGCCCCGGAAAGTATCGCCCATCGAAAGCAGAGACAAACTCGACCCACTGAGGAAGGATCTGAGGCTGCTTGCGGCCTACGCGACGAAGATCGCACAGTAAATGCCAGAACTGAAAGAACCCGGGATCTGCCAACATGTCAGGCGACAGGGCCAACCGAAGGGCAGAACTACTGCCAGCCGGGCAAATACCAATCGCCCGTGTAGCGGCCGCGCGCAAGCTCGTCAACCTGGAGTCGCACAACAAGCAACCAGCGGCCCCATGCAACAGGCTGCTCCAAAATTTGATGGGCAGCAAGGCAACCTTCTGGGCTGTGGGCGCGCGGGACTTCTTGAGCCTCTGCCACATAGGGGCAAGCGCCGCACACATCTCGTCTCGAATAGAGACCCGCACCCGCTTCCCATACGTCATTAGGCCGCCTAAATCCCGTGCACAGTCGACCACTGTCAACCCCAAGGCCTTCAACGTCTTGCGCGACGTGGGCTGAAGCGCCCAGACAAACGTCTTCTGCCGATCCAACTCAAGGTCCCACATGTCTGCAAAACACTCTGTTTGGGCCAAAGTCTGAGCAAGTTCGGCAGCGTCATGCGCCAAGCAAGTAAGATTGTCCACAAAGGACAAAGGAACACACGAAGGCGAAAAGTGATGCATGTAAAGATGCCAACACCAATCAACTAGAACCATTGCTACCGTCGACAGTGGATCGCCTTCAGGAAATCCGGTGTGCGACTGGATAGGCTCGCCTACCTCGTGTCGAATGACAAAGTGCCTGCGCAATCCACCGAGAAAGGAGCCCCAAGCTCGCAACAAGGAATCCGGAATCCCAACGCAACGTGCAGCGTGGAAGACTGGTACACGGGGTAAGCCGTTGAAGGCCTTCACTAAATCGGCTCCAAACCCCAGCAGATCCTGGCCCTGCAGGACAGCAAGCTCAATGGAGGCCTGAACGGATATCCACAACTGCTTCGTTTCGTGGGCGGGCAAAAAGCCATGGGCATCACCATCTATGACCTGTGCGATAAGCTTCAGCAATTGACGTGCCCGAATGCTGGCATATGTCCGGTAGACCAAGCTCAGCACGCAGATCGGACGAAAGGCGTCAGGGCCAGCCTTCTGATTGTGTTTATCAAGGCTCATGATCAGGCCAATAAGCATCTGCTCTGGCCAATTCAGCACGCCGGCCTCAATGAGCTCAAGAAGGTTTAGGATCTCAACTGTAAAGGCATGAGGCATGCTCAACAAGTCCATTTTGGCAAAGCCGTCTGCACCTCGAGCAGCTGTCGCCTTGTACTTGCGAAGAGTGCGCACCCATGTTTCAACGGAAATGGGCTGTAGATCAAAACTGCAAGAGGGCAAAAACGCTGTACAGAAACCAACAACCCTCTGCCAGGCATCAGGAGGCGTGTGGGCGTGCTTCTGCCACCGCGGCTCCCAGTGCTGCCTGAATTCCTGCTGAATGTGTTCAACCTGAGAGAGCAGCTGGTGCTGTTCAAGTTCCTGGCCAATTTCAGGCTGCTGCTCAAACTCGATCGAACAAACTGGCCCGTCGAAAGAGTGGACCTTACATGGAAGACCATCCAGCTTCCATGTGCTGGCTCCTCTGGCGTCCGCCGGATGCTCAAGCGCAACCTGGTTGCTGTGATTGTCAACTTCCAAAATGGAGTAGACACGTACACAGTGCATGGTATCAACTTTATCCGGTCTGGGTCTCTGCAATTCTTTGAACAACTGTTCACGGTCACCTTCGTACTTGTTCTGCAAGGCTTTGCCTCGATTCCGATTGTTCCAAGCTTCAAAAGCCCTGAAGTTGGATTGAAAGTCTTCATAAATCAGAGCACCAACCTCGGCCGAAGGCACAGCCCGCGGAAGGTCCTGAGGGCTGCCTTGAAGCTGAACGTGACGCCGTGACCACCACACACGAAACCCTCCGCAAAAGCTACGGCACTCACAGATTCGATGCCAGAGGTCAGCGCGGTAGACCTGTGCTTCCGCAGAAGACTTCCCAGCCCTGAGAGAGTGTACCAAGCTCTGCAACCTGCGCAATTGTTTAAACCATGCCAAGACCTCCCGACCAACCAAGTCACAGCGAAGTGAGACCTCGCCTGGGCGGCTCGGGCGAGCGAGAGGTGCAGCGATTTGCCGAGAGCGAGGCTTCGTAAGGGAAGCGCGACCGCGACAGGCATTCGGCAAGCGTCTGCCAGGAAGGTCAGGGACGAACCCACTCAAGCTGCGCTCGTAGCATGACGAGAAGTCTCGATACCATGCCGTGGAATCAGAAGCACAATGACAAGGGGGAACCGAGCAGTGGCCCTGATGCCAGGCATCCACATCAACAGAGCTCCAAGGGATCTCAGAAGGCCGTGGCCACGTGCGCTGCAGATATCTGGCGGGAGGTGCTTCGCAAGTGACCGTGACCGTGGCATGATCAACAAAATCTTCAGTGACTTGCACCGCGCGACATAGCTGAGCCAACTCGGGCGAGAGGAAAATGAGGTCGCGCTGCGTGCTGTGTTTGCACGTAGGTTGCACCGGCTGACCCCACTGCATCAAAGCAAGAGACTGGGCCTCTACCCAGCCATTGGCCTCCCAATGCCGAATCTCATCCAGATTGGCAGAATCATGATTGAAGTCGCCGGCAACAAATCTGGGGCCTTGGCGACCGTAAACAAGGTGTGTGGTAATGGACTTGAGCAAGTCATCAGTGGCAGCACGGGCCTGGGGATACGTAGAACCCGCAGGGTAGCCATAGATCACAGCACCTGTCAGCAAAAGCCCATTCACATCATGAAAAGTTGCGAGAACCCGTCCCGATTCATAGACCCCAACGGGCCAATCCAGGCGAAGACTACGACTTGGATAATCGCTGGCAGTGAGGACCCCAGTCCAAGCTCCCGCCCAGAGCGAGTGAGCCCGTACAGGCGCTGGCCCACCAGCATGAACCCTAACATTGCGGCCTTGCAAGCGCGCAAAGTGCTTGATGGCCTTTGCGGAGGTAGGCTGCGTTGAAGCCGACAGCTGGGTCTCTGCTAGGCACCATATGCCTTCACCCCAATCAGTCAGGACGCCCTCTTTGGTGCGGAGGCCAGAGGGATTCGAAGTGCCCAAGCGAAAAGTGCATGTCTCCTGGCCCGGCCCAGGATGATCTGCCTCCCCATAGCGCTGGTTTGGACGAAAACCCAAATCGCAACAAAGACCCGGCGTCACAAGGCCAGGCGAGGACTGAACTTCCCCATACCCTGCAGAGGCCGGCGCCTGTGGAGCTGCTCCACTCAGAACGAACCCAAAAGAAAGAAGAAAACGCAAGACGAAACGCAAGGGACGCAAGGATTGAGGCTTGCCACCTGTCCCACAATGGCAACCTGCGCGCCCTAGTCACTCCGGGTGCTTGCGTTTGGCAAGGAGCGACTGAAACTGTTCGAACTGAGCCGAGAGTTGTTGGGAGAAGGAGGCCTGCATCGCCTGAAAGGATTGCTGGACTGTGGACTGGATAGCGGCCTGCGTGCCTTCTGCCTGTTGCTGAACCTCAACCCTGACATTTTGGATGGCCGCTGCCTGGCTAGACAAATTCATCTGCACTTCACTGATTTCACTAGCGGTTTGGGAGACCTGTTGGTTGATAGACTGCACCCAGTCTGTGAACTTGACGTGTTGCTGCTGCATTTCCCGGATGTTGGTCTCAAGTTTCTCGAAGCGTGCCTCGGTGGCTTGATGCAGCTTAGCAGCATGGCTGTGGGCAGCTGTCTCGGCATGTTTTTGGGCAGTGTCAAGTGCGCTCTGTCTCAGGGAACTCTCAAGCGCTGACAGCCGTGTCTGGCCAGCAGTGGACTTGGAAGGAGCGGGAACGACGGGAGCTTTGTACTGCGCCCAAGGGTCGGCGGTCTTCGTCCATGGATCCTCACCCCGAGCATCTGTCTCAAACTTGTCAAGCCGAATGTGCTGTCTGGTTTTCTGCGTCGCGTACAATTGGCGTTCATTGCCAGCGCGATCTGGAGGAGATCCAAGCTGTGTGACGAGAGCAAAGCCGTCCCCGGTCGTTAGGGCAAGACTGGGCGGCTCACTGTCAGCCCCAACCAACCAGGCCGCTCCAGCACTATCTCCCCGTCCCGGTTGAAGCGGCCGGGCCTGCCAGCCCCATCCCCGAAGGAGACCAATGAGGTCAGACCGCTGTGTGCCGTGGGGCAGTGGATGAATGCGAAATCGCATGGAGACCTTGGTCTTGATGAACGTGACCCCGGGGCGAATAGTGGCAAAGACGGATTCTTCGTCACACTCCCGCACGCGCACGCCATATTTCAACCCCAGCCGCGTCACCGCGAGCGCTTTGGTGCAAGTCTTGACAACGTGTTTGGCATGGTCCTTGTTAGCGCCGGGAATCCAAACGACCCTGTACCCATCATCTGAACCTGCACCTGCATCAGCACGAGGCTCTACGTAGACACCGGTCTGTTGCACCAGCTGAAGTTGGTCAATGGCTGATTTTGGCACACGCATGAGCACTGAAAACACATCTGCGGCCTGAGGATCGGCCCTCTTGCCATCGTGCAGCTGGTACTGCCGGGCCCACAAGTCTAAGATGAGCTGGTCAACCTTCTCCTCGACGGCCGGATGAAAGGCAGGACAGTCAAGCCCACAATCAACGCCTGGGCAAACCCGCAATGCAGGAATGGTGTTAATCATCCACTTGACCGGCCCAGCAACGAAGCGGACCCAATCACCGGCGAACTCATCCCTGAAGACAGAGACCCTGACGACCCCCGTAGCAAGACTGGCAGGTTCAGCAATTGTGCCCTGCGCAAGGCTGATTGGCTCATCGCCAAGATTGATCAAACTTCCGCTCAACAGCATGGCCTCCTTGGTGGGTTGGTAAATGACCGGATACCTGATGGCAACATGCTCGCGGCAGGCTTTCACCACAGGCGGCACCTCGGCGGTCGTAACCAGGCAGAGGGGGTCCGTGCTAAGCAATTCTCCTTGGAGGAAGGGCAGCGCCTGCTCGGCCGTACAGAATGCAAGTCCATGGGCTTCATTGGTCACTTCCTCAAACCCAATCTGATGTACGCCCTCACCGTCGGGAGTAATGAAAGAGCCCTCAGTGAGAAGAAGAGACTGAGGATCAACAACCAAGTCGGACCCCGACTTCTTGGCCACTGCTTGCTTAAGTTTCTTGCGCCGCCCTTGAGGCACTACAGCACCAAACGTCTCAGCAGCCTTCTCCCGAACTTTGGCCTCCAACTCATCTGGAGCGACAAGCCTGAAGATAGAGCCGGGTCTGGAAGCGGCAGCTTTGAGACATTGCCACGGATTCTTGGCCTGAAGCGCTTGAACAATGGCGGTGGCCCCAATCTTCTTTGCGAGCTCGGTTACCCGTCCTCCTGCCTTGTCTGCGGGCACACCTTTAGAAACCAGAAGAGCAGCGAGTGACGCAGCGTCGGATGCGGAAAGCTCACCCCTGCCAGTGTGCAAGCAAAACTCAAAGGCATGGACCTGCAGGTCATCCTGCAGGCGTCGCAAAGCCTGAATGGACCTATCATGCTGTGCACCCACGACCGACGCAGCATGCGCGACAGCAATCGTCCCACAACTGAGACCAAAGGCCTGCGCAAACCATTGCTGACACACAAGTGACGAAAGCTGCTTACCCCAAGATTGGCAGATAGCTGCAGCAAGGTCCCGAGCATAGGGCAGGAGAGCAAAACTCGTCCCATCGAAGTAGAAGCCCTCAACTGTTCCGGCCTGTGTCTGTTGCAAACTCAAACAGGCCCAGTGTCCTCGAGCCTCGAATACCCCAACAAAGGAGTGCATATCCTTTGGAAAGATCTGACCTAAACGCGAGACATCAACCGAGGATTTGTGTGCAGTAACCAGACA